ATAAGATAGCTACTAGCTAAAGTATTTTATTTGGTTACCATTATTGAGGAAAAAAATGGTCATGGAGATTAATCAGATTTTTACTGTGTCTATGCAAAAGAGTATATTGGAATTCAGGAGGGAAAGGGGTTCCTGTTTAAAGTGGGTATCTGAAGCTTGGCTCCATTTTGGAAGGGGAGTGTTCCCAGCAGCTTCAGGACTGCGGAGAGCTCCGAGCCCAAGATGGAGCACTGTGTGCGCAGCCGCTGGCGCTGCTGGACGTTTTATTGCATGTGCGTCACCGCTTTCCCAAGGGGCTGATGCTTTTGGATGTCTAGTTTGAGATACTGTAAGGGGTTCAGTTTTTCAGATAAGTGGCAAATAACAGGTCTTCAAGGGAGCCAGTTTTCCAAAGGACCACACACAAACACTTCAGAAAATACCAGCCCATAGTTTTATTTGCACTGAAATCCTTTTCTACTAAAATTTCAATTTTATGCATCTGCTCATCCTTCAGGAAATGCTATTGAAACGAGCTGCTGACCTAGTTGAAGCACTGTATGGAACGCCACATAACAACCAGGTCAGAACAAGTACTCTCAACAGGGGAGTGGTAAACGTTCGGGTTTAGTAATAAACCCAGAACATTTCTCCAAGCACACTTTTGAACTTTCCCCCTTCATTCTGCAGGACATCATTCTGAAACGAGCTGCAGACATCGCAGAAGCTCTCTACAGCGTACCAAGGAATCCTGCGCAGATCCCCGCACTGTCTAGCTCTCCAGCTCACAGCAGTATGATGGGAATTAACTCCTATGGCAGCCAGTTAGGAGTCAGCATTTCAGAGTCAACACAGGGGAACAACCAAGGTAAACGCTGCAAGTAGTATAGTGTTAATTTAAACAACGAAAAATTGGATCACAGTTGCTTCCACAGTAGTTTCTTAACTTCTCTAACTGCTCAGCTATGAATGGAAAGATGGCTCTAAACATTCAAAATGGATGTGTGGTGCCATTTTGGATGATGCTGTGTCTGCACTACGTTTCAGTTGCCACATTGGCTGTGGCTGAAATAATCATTTTTGAGTATTTTTTGATACCAAGTTAGCCCTGAATTCTTTCCCTGTTCCCCTCAATTTTTGGTTATATCTCTGTTTGCATAAAAGACAAGGACAGCAACTGGAAAACAAACTCTCACAGTTAAAGAGTTGTGGAATTTTCTTCTTCTTCTTTTTTTTAAAGGCTTCTTTTTCAGTGTTAATTTTATCAACTTGCATATGTTGTCTGTATTACATTTACTCCAGATATATTATTGATTGTTAGGAAAACATCCCATAAAATGACATATTAACAGTAATACGTCATGGGAGCAATATCAACTTTGAGCCTTTTTTGACTCTTGAATATTTTGATTTTTAGCACTCAATTCCAGTAACGTACAATCTGTGGCTGACTGCGTGAATAGCTGTGTTTAACAGTCTAAGGCAGAAAAACCACGTCATATAAAGTTAATATTGCATGTGCCATGTCAAAAGTCATCGTGTAGATAATTTTGCTAGTTTATTTAATAAGGTCTTACTAGCCCTGAATTACAACTTCATAATATAAATGGGCAGAAATAAACTCACGTGGTATCTAAATGGTAACCACTTTTTAAAGTAGCTATTGGATCACATCTTTCTAATGAAAGCTTTGTGTGGAAAACACCTTCTGCAGCTGTAATAATAGCCTCGTACTTTAATGCTGATAGCTGTGGTGTTCTTCAAGTCTCCCTCTGGAGAAAGAAGAGGGTAAATTTTGGTTCTCAAATATTTGTGATTATGTTTTTACTTATCCACTTTATTCTTTCCCCCAAGTAGACTATCTTTAAATTCTAGCTGCTAATTATATATTGGTTATAATTTACCCTTAGTAATGTACTTGCTTTTTTGCAATTCATCAAGAATTTGAAAAGTATAACCTACTCCCCCCCCCCCCCCCC